CTTTTCTTTAGAACAGTCTGGCTGGATAGACTCTAACTACAAACTCACCGGAGAGCATCCCCTGGCCAGGTGGGCCCTGGGGTGGTGGGGGAGATGGCCAGGGTGGCCACCTGCTGGGAGAGGTCATTCGCCTCCTCGGCCTCCTCGTAGAGGGTCTTGGCATAGCGCACAAGGAAGGGCAGCAGCTGGCAGACCTCCTTGCGCAGGGATGAGGTCTCCTCGGCCAGCCAGGCCCCCAGGATCCGCACCGAAGCAAACACAAAGGGCTCCTTCTGCTTCTCTGGCCCCACCTGTTGCCATGGGACCCCTGTGAGATGGAGTAGGACCACAGACCCTCCCCGGCCGGGACAGCATGCCAGCCAGCCTAGGAAGAACACAACTAGAAGGGAATTCTGGCCTGTGAGCCCTTCAAAGGCAGGCCCTGTGTACCCAGCACCTAGCACATGGGAAAGATACGCCCGACAGGAGCCTGGCAGAGAGCAGGCCCTCAGGGCACGTCTGCCGAGCAAACTGGACTTTGGACAACATGTCCCCACACTCACTGGGACTCAACTTGCATCCCCTTGTCCCCCCACCTCTAAAGTATCTCAAGGTTCAAAGGAAACTCACAGGTCTGAAGCTAACTAAACACTCCCTCTACAGCAGCTCTGACCTGGGAGGAGTTGGCTGAACCTCTCTGGAGGCCAGGAACCAGGCAGCCCTGCTCCTTTGCCCAGCTCCACGACAAGTCTGGATGTGCAGGTGTATGAAACAATGCAAGAGGCTGAGCAGAACAGACTGCTTCGGTTTGGAGTGTGTGTGTACTGGGGGGAGGGTTGTGAGTGGGAAGTCACTGTGTTGTGTGCGTGTGTGTGTGTGTGTGTGTGTGTATGTGTGTGTGTGTGTGTACTGTGATGTGAGTGCACATATGGTGTGTGGTATGGTGCTTGTGTGGAGGCTCAGGGAGGGAGAGAGAGGGAGGCTCGGCCACTCTACTCCAGGGAGTGCTGCAGGATCAGCCCTCAGAGTGGGCATCTTGCCCTCTCCCTATTACACTGAGGTGCAGTTCACTTCCCCCTTTGCCTTGCCTTCTGGCTCCCCCCACACCAGGCTCCCTCCATGGGTCGCTATGCCTCACCTGCTGCAGATAGTGGATGACAGCCCCGATGGCCTCCTTCATGATGCTCACGAGCTGCACCTTCTGTGGCTCCTTGAGCAGTGATTGCTCACAGCGGGTGCATTCCTGGATCCCCAACTCCATGAGGGCGTAGCAGGCGGTCACCACATCCTCTTTTACTTCTGTGCCTGTCTCCTCCAGCGCCAGCCGTACCTCCACACACGCCAGATTCACCAGCAGGGCCAGGAACTTGCTCCCGGAGCTGCCCGCTGGGATCCAGTCGGAGCCGCAGGCGTGCGCCAGGCGGGCCGCCAGCTTGAGTGCAGGGTTGCGCTGCCAGGAGCTCAGCTTGCTGCCCAGGATGCGTGCCAGCCCGGCCTGCAGATCCCGGAGGCATTCAGAGGGCACGGTTGTTGGGGGCAGAAAGAGGGGCAGCAGCTGGCAGAGCTCAAACTTGCTGGCATCCTCGGCTTTCTGGAAATCTTCACTGAGGCCCCGCAACACAGCCAGGAGGTCGGGCTCCGCCTCCTTCCAGCACTGGGTCTCAGCAGCAGCCAGCAGCCCCACTAGGAGTGCCAATGCCTGGTCAAAGCCATAGCCATGCCCCAGGTATGCCTGACACAGGGCAGACACGGTGCCACCAGCAATGAGGTGCCGGGGCCCACGGGGTGTGCCTGCCACAGCTGTCAGGCACTGGTAGGTGTCGTCAATCATGGAACGGCGAGCAGCATCATCCGGGTCCCCCCGGGCAGTGAGGAACGTGCTAAGGATGGGGATCTTGTTCAGGACCTGGGGATGGGCAGCCAGTTCAGGGTCGCTGCAGAAGCAGGCCAGCAGGGCCACACCCAGGGCTCGGAGAACATGGTCAGGGCAGCCATCTGGTGCCTCCTTGGTGGTCAGGAGGCGATTGGGGAAGGTGAAGCCTACAGCATCGAAGATCCGCCGTCGAGTTTTGGCATCGATGTCACCTGCTTTGACTGCCTTGGTCACCTAAGGGGGGTGGGTATGTGCTATCAGCGGGATGAAAGAAAGACTGCCCCCTGTACCTTGGGGTACTGACCATTACCAGGATGGGGTTATGGAAGGGGACTTGCTCTGGGGTCAGGAAGCCTCCAGAGGTCATTTTGTCCAGCTCCTTCCCTCCCCACCCGGGGAGAGAGATGGTTGTGACCTCTGGGATCCCTCATCTATGATTACCTACACAGAAGGGAGGTCCAGTCCTCCTCAACTACTCGTTCTGCCGTTTCATCACCCGGTCATCTGGGAAGTTCTTTTTGATGTCTAATCTAGATGCTGGCAACCTGAGTTGGGCTTAGAGCTCAGTTTAAAATCCCCCAAGGATTTAGGGTCTCTCCCTAATTGCCCCCCCACCCCCACCCCAGCAGAGGAGTCTCTGATCCATTCCCACCACCTTCTCAGGGGAAATGGCTCCTGTGTCTCGCCACTCTGCCTGTCAAAACATTTCCCCTTACATTTCACCTCAACACCTCCTCTGCTGCAGTGTGAGCCCTTGACTCTGGAGCCTTCTCCCTGTTGCCATGGCAAACAAGCGGAGACTGTGCTCCCTCCTCCCTTCCCCCCCCCCCCCCCCCCCCCCCCCCCCCCCCCCCCCCCCCCCCTTCTCAGCACTGCAGCTCTTGCTCTGCTGGCCCCAGCCTGGTTCTTCCAACAGGGCTAAGACCCAAACCAGCTCCTTCGCCCTCAACCTACCTACTGTCATCCTGGCCATCCCCTGGGACCCCTTCCCAGTTACTTCTAGTTCTGCTACTCTCTCCACCCCCAGAGCAATCATCCCCAGCCCTCAAGTACTCTGCACTAGTTACTACCTGCTGCTGTCACCCTATGAGTCAGCTCCCATCTGCTCTGGGACGCCCCAGAGAGCAGACCCAGGCAGCCTCCTCCAAGGCTTCTAAGGCCCTAAGCCTTATTCACCCCCACTCTCCCCTTTGCTCCCACACTTAGGGAAGCAAAGAAGAGTCCAAAGGCAGGCATCTTGGTGCCTCCGGGAATGGCAGCACCACCTATATATCCTCAGGGACTTTTTCACCCCATTCCTAGGGGACCCAACCACCCAGCCCTTCCCACCTCCCAATTTTCAGTCAGGTCCTTACTAGCAGCAGGGCTGCAAACTGCTCGCTGTCATTCTTGGCCTCACGGAGGGCTCCCAGGTAGCGCTCCAGGGTGGGGTTTCGGCTCTCTGCCTGGTTCAGAGCTGGCTCACAATCCGAGGCCATGATGCCCGCCTTGCCCAACTGTGAACACAAGAGGGACTGAGCATCCCTCTGCAGAGGAGGGGTGGGGGTGGGAGTGGAGGAGGGAGGGAGGGATTAGCACAGAGGGAGGGGAGGATCAGGAGGGATGGGTTCCTCAAGACTGACCTCCCTTGTGGGAGCCCCTTAAAGGCACTGGACCCTCAAGTCCTTAGGAATGAAGAAGGACCCTGGCCAAGGTCACCTCGGGAAAGTGGGAAAGAAGGACCATGCATCCCGCTGCTCAGCTGGACAGCTCTCCTTACCAATCTCCCAGGAGTGGGAGGGGGGTTGGCCCCACTGCTCAGCTGCCCCCTGGCACCAGAGGCCTGATTTTATCTCCCTTCACCCAAGCACACCAGGAGGGAGTGGTGAGGACAGACAGGAAGGAATGGAGACATACATGGGTGAAGTTCGATTATCCGGACTCGGGCTGACATGAGGGAAAAGGGCATTCTAGGTTTCCTTTCCCCTCCCTTCTCCAGAACAGGCAGGAAACAAGCTTCAGCACAAGTGGGGTTGCAGGGTACTGACCAGGGAAGGCTTGGAGGCCCCTTTGGGGACCCCACCCCTCCAGCCAGGGCTCTCAATCGCCCCCGCAGGCTCCTTGCCTCCTCTCCTTTCCCTCCCTCAGGCAGAAGCTGCAGCAGCAGCAGCAGCAGCAGCAGCAGCAGCAGCAGAATTAACCCTTTGCATTCCCCCTCCTCGCCCTCCCCGCCCCGCTACCAGTCTGTGGATGCCGGCAGGGGCTGGAGAAGCAAGAAGGGGTCCCGGGTAGCTCCCAGGACAACGGAGAATCCAAAAGCCGGATAATCGAAGCGGGGCTGCTGAGATGGGGAGATGAGAAAGGGAAGAGAGGGTTCCTGGCGGTCACCACCTGTCCCGCCGCAGCCAGGTCACAACACGACATTGATGAAGTCACGACAGGGCGGCGATGAGATCACACTTCACGATGGCGCGGTGATGTCACGGAGAGATCACGGTAAAATCACGACATGGACAGCCCCCAAAGATGACAGGGCAAATTAAAAAAATATATATATATATAGCTATATATTGAAAAGGGCTGTGACAAAATGGAGTCTCGACAGGGCACGATGATGTCGCGATATGGCGCGATGGAGTCGCGATAGGGTCCCCGGGGTGTGTCGGCATCGATCAGCGCCGGCTCGGCGAGGCCCCGGCTGGGATGCAGGGAAGGGCCTGAAGGGGGCTGAGCTCACCAGGCTGCGGCCCCGAGCGGCGAAATCTTCTCCGAGCGCGACGCTCCTGGAGCCTGGGGCCGCTGCTCACGCCGCTTTGCCCACTCCCGGCTCCAGGAGGCTGCAGCTCCACCCCCACCCCCGCAGCGCTCTCGACCAATCCGCGGCGGCTTCACTCCGGGCTCTGGCCAATGGCACACCTGGGCGCTAAGCCGTAGGGGGTGCTACCGTTGCCGCCATCTTGCTTGTGGGTATTGCCCGAGTCTGGGGCCTGGGGCTCGCGCAGGGCATGCGAAGGCGCAGACTGCCTGTGGAGAGCGGGAGGCGACAGCCTGGCGGCCCAGGCTCCTTCGCTCGTGCGTAGTTCTGTCCCTCAGCACTGCCCCACCTCCCCCTCTGGCTCGAGGCTGGAATGGAGCTTCCGGGTGGGGGGGCAGGAGGGCTGGTTAGCATGAAGAGTGTGTTTCCGGGTTGAGCCCCGCGAGGTGGGAGGAGGCGGCGTTTCCGGCCGCGGTCGCTGTCCCGGGAGGCTGAGGCGAGAGGGAGCTGTCCGGGTGGGGAGCCAGCACTACCTTCTTCCTTTTCCTCCTCCTCCGGGTGAGGGGAGCGAAGGTTGGGGCCCTGACCCCATGGACCGGGAGGAGGCGGAGGCCGCCGAGAGCCGGGGCCCAGCTGTGTGGCCCTGAGCCCCGGTAGGTGGCCGGGGGCGGCTGGCTGCCGGGCCGAGGACCTCGAGCTCAGGGGAGGGGCAGGAGGGACGGGCTATTTCTGAGGGTGCGCTGGCTGGGTGTTGGGACCCGGAGGTGGCGCTCCTGGCCCGGCTAGGGCAGCCAGCTGCTTCTGGCTTTGCAGGTGCGGAGCTCGAGTCCCAGGCTGAACCCTGCTTCTTTCAGGCCCAGGCCTGGTCATGCAGCATCCTCCATCCCCTGACACACCGGGCTCGGGGCGCTGCTGTGCTTCCTCCCTCGACTTCTGCAGCCTCGTCCTGAGCTGCTGTGTGTGGTGTTCGGTCTCCCCGCCAGGATAGAAAGTTGATGCAGAATTAGGGGGGCGGGGCTGAGTACGATGTGTAAATTACCATGCGAAACCTGCCTTATCCCGGACTTTAGAAAATTATTACCCAACAGAGGGGTTCTGTGGTGTCTGCGGTGAGCACAAAGGTGAAATGAAGGAAGTCAAAAGAACACCTTAGGCGGTTCTAGGACCGCTTTTCCTTTTCTCACCGCCTGATGCTTGTGCCCAACCGACAATAGATGCAGTTAGTGAAGAGCATTAGCTGACTCTCCTTGTGCTTTCTTCTGTGATTAACAGACTGGGAGCTAGGAACAAATTGGAAAGACGACCTCCCAGAACAATCTGTTCATTTTTCCAGCTATTTGGAAAACAATGTCTGCAAATATAAGCAAAGTTATTCATGGCAGTCTGTTCTGTAACTTTCCCAAATATTTGAGACTTTTTTTTTTAAGAGCTTTATTCTTGATTACTCATACCAGCTGAATAGGCTGTTTCAGACTTGCTCTGTCGTTGTTCAAACATATCTTATCGCTGTGTACATAAATGGAGTTCCACGTATGTAGCTGACAGACTGAACTATGATACATCCCCCATCAACCTGAAGGATTAAGTAAACATTACCCCCTTCTCTGAACAGCTGCTGCAACAGAGAGTGCTTTTATTTCGGGTGTACTTGTAACGCCCTAAATGCCAAAACTATTGCAAGCTTTTCTAGATTTTCATTTGTCAAGTATTGTGGGGGTGTGTGTTCTCACCCTGGGTTTTTACCCTTTGATTCTGTAACAACCCATTTGGATCTTGGTGATGTGTTGTTCTTGCCTCTGGTCAGCAAGGCTTTGACTGAACCCTAGCAGTGATTTGTGCCCTTAGGCAGTTGTAGATTTGGGAAGCCTAGCTGGTTGGGAGTTAGTTCATTTGAAAAGAGCTCTGCCTCTTATGCATGGTTTCTAAGACATTGCACTTCTAATCAGCTTGCTAATCCAGTGGTGTTTATTACTCCCATTTTCAAAGCCTATTCATTTCTTTTATGCTTCTGTCGCCCACCTGTCACGCTATTGATGACAGATGTTGAGTCACTTTGAATTTAAAATCCTTTTGTGGTAGGCAGAAATGTGTTGGGTAAGATCCACACACACACATACACGTGCACACTCAACTGTTCCATCTTGAGAGGCTAGAGAAGTTGCTGGGTATACTTTCTAACTTGGGCTCCATTTTATAATCTCTTGAGCATGTCACTGGCCTGCACATCTTTCAGCCCCCTGCTCCCTAAGATACAACTTCAAAACTACTAGAAATCAGAATGGATGGAAGTGAATGAGGAAGAAGTACTTCAGTTGCTTAGGGCTCAGTGAAAGCCTTTTCTTGGGTGGGCTGTGCCTTGGTTTTGCAGCTGTGGATGTTTCCTGGTATTGGTCAATATTGACATCCAGCCCATGTGATGCCAGTCTCCTTGTATGCCGGCTGCGGGTGGGGGGCGGAGTCTGTACTATTTGCCACATGTGAGTGACAGGTGCACATTTAAGACAGAAGAATTTGAATTGCTTCTTCAGAACCCAACCAACCCTCATGATATTGTCAAGATTTATATAATAATTTATACAATGTAGGGAAGTTGTATAAGAGAAGAAACAGATGAAAATCATTTTCTCTCTGGAAGGGAGCTAAATTATCCAGCTCCAAGATTCTAGAGTAGCCAGCACAATGCCTAGCACACAATAGGGGCTGTGTAAATATTTGTTGAGTGTCTATATGAATTCAAGTCAGGAATTGCAGATGAATCTAGGGATCAGGGAGGTGACATTGAAGTGTAACTTGGATAGATTTTTAAGGTCATGGTGGGGCAGTAGTAAACTGGAGGGTGCATGTACTTCCTAAAGACAATCACATTAATTTTTTTTTTTTTAAACACAGCTAGACAAAACTCTCAGGTTAGTTTACCTCTGATAGTCGAAACTCCTCATAGATAAGAAGGCGTGTTTGGTCAAAGTCACAAAGCTGTTACTGGAAGAATTGGAACTGAAGCTCAGATCTTTTTTTCTTCAGGCAAGTACTTTTTCCATTCTTCCACATAGATGATTTACTGTTAGCTTAGAAAATAACAGAACATAAAGTGTTTCAGTTTTACAGTGGATTCATTTCATACCCCTTGCTGTTTTTATCCTGATAATTATAGGCTTTGTCAAAGCTCAGGTTTAAAATTTATAGGCAGGTATGAGCAGTGAAAGATAAACTTGAAATTTCTCTTCCTCCTAGGCTGTCACATTCTCTAGCATTCTACATTTCCAGGAACCAATTATTAATTACTTGGCATATAATTTCTTCCCTTTCTGTCTTTATAGTGAACGGGTTCCGCCTATCTGGAAGGCCATGGAGAAGAGGCTGGGAGTGAAGCCAAGCCCTGCTTCCTGGATTTTGTCAGGATTTTGTTGGCAGATATCTGTGAAATGGTTGAGAAGCCTGTACCTGTTTTTTACTTGCTTCTGCTTCAGTGCTCTGTGGTTGTCAACAGGTACCATTTTCTTTATAGATTTAAACTCTGTATGAGTCTTTCATTTCATATTAAAGACGAGGAGGAGGCAGAAAAGCAACCTGCTAATTGAGAGAAATGGTCATCCTTTTGGTAGACGCTTAGTTTGTTGGGTTTATTTGTTTTGGAACAATTAAAATTGGGTTCTTCCTTGTAAAGGGAAATTGCCATGATAATTTTAAGATTTGGTGAAGATGTAATGAAAAGAAAAACATTTGAGGGGTGCCCAGGTGGTTTAGTTGGTTAAACGTCTGACTCTTGATCTCAGCTCAGGTCTTGATCAGAGAGGCATGGGTTCTGGCCCTGAGTTGTGCTCCATGCTGGGCATGAAGCCTACTTAAAAAAAAAAAAAAAAAAAGAAAGAAAAATATTTGCAAGTTGGGAAGACCTGGGTCCTGGTTCTGGATGTTTCTACGTAATAGCTATAAAACCTTGAGCAAGTTACCTATTGTCTGTAAAGAAGGATAAGATTTACCTTGTAAGTTGATAAGGAGAGACACTGTGATTAAAGTGTGTAGTGTAGCACTGTGAACATAGGTGCTTCATAAAGATACTTTGCTGCTTTTTCTCTTCTAAAGGAATGTTCACTTACAGGGACAATGTGTTCCTTGCTTTTTCTATAGAGAGGGGTTATGCTGATAGATTTCATGAAGTATGCTTTCTTCCTAGAGATTATTTCACCAGGCTAGAGCCTCTTGCCAGGAAGAAGTGCGAAGGTTACATTTCAAAGGATACTCTTTCTTTAAATCATTTTTTTCTTTCAGTTCTTTGGTTGACATTGTTCTTTTCAGAGTATGGAATGTGAGAGAACAGCCGTCCCAGAGACACTCTGGAGTTTGCTGCTCTTCTGGGCAGTGACCAAAAAGCCTTGTGTTGTAGAGACCACTGTCTGGGATAAGGAATCAGCCTTTTGCTTCCATAATTCCAAAGATTTCTGTTGTTTTCCTAAAGGAATTGGTGGTCATGATCTAGAGAATCAAGTAATTACTGTGTTTAGCAATTTTAGTAACATCAGCTTTAGGGTTTTTGTTGTCCTGCAGTGTGGTAGTTGATGATTGCATAATTAGAGCAGTGGAAATTGCAGTTGACAGAAAGCTGACCTAAATGTTTTTTTACCCAGATGATGCTTTGCTGGGACAGCTAACTATTTCAGGCCAACATTTTATGTAAGATCGTTTGAGTTAAATAAGTAACTGATTTAGCACCATCAGGGTAGGAAAATTGCATTTTTTGAAGAGCACCTACCACATACCAGACCCTGGTTATAAACATTACATATGTTATTTCACTTAATCCCCATGATAATCCTAAAACAGATAGTTTTAGTTTCATTTTATACATAAGGAAATTAAGGCCCAGAGAGGCAGAATGACTTGCCCAGGGTCACACAGCAAGAAGAAGTCAATGACAGAGCCAGGAGTTAAACTTTGGTCTGTTCATTCAATAGCCTGTGCTCTTTTTCTAATGTTACTTTGTGCCTTCCAACCACAGATAGTCTTTCGGAGGACCAAAGATTGTTTTTTTTATCATGAACCATGATGAGCAGCTTGTTATTTGAGGGATTCCATGTGCAGGGTAGGGAGAAGCATTTCTACTTCTGTTTCTGTATTTCCAGTCTAGCACTTGGTTAAACAGAGTACTGTGGGCTTACTGTGCTAGTCTTTAGTATCCCCTTAGCTGGCTGCTTAAAAACAACAACAGTGAGCAGATTGAGTATAGGGGTGCAAAGGTGGTATTGTTAGGAGTGGTTCTAGTGCAGATTAGATTGTACTAGTTTCATTTTAGAGAAGTTTGGAGCTTTTACTGTGGAAGAATCAAGAACCATGTGTGTTCAAACTGAGGGAACTTGCAGGTAACACACAACAGACAGATTTGGTATATGTTTTAACTTACAGTAACCGCCTTTTCACATCAATGTTTTATTTATTTATTTATTAAAGTTTATTTATTTATTTTGAGAGAGGGAGCATGTGCATGAGCAGGGGAGTGCAAAGAGAGAGGGACAGAGAGGGAATCCCAAGCAGGCTCCACACTGATCGTGGAGCTTGATACAGGGCTCGAACTCCTGAATGCTAAGATCCTGCCCTGAGCCGAAGCCAAGACTCTTAATTGACTGAGCCACCCAGGTGCCCCACACATCAATTTTTTAAACACATAGTATCTTTTTTAAAATAAATTTTTAATGTTTTATTTATTTTTGAGAGAGAGAGACAGAGACAGACAGAGTATGAGCAGGGGAGGGGCAGAGAGAGAGGGAGACACAGAATCTGAAGAAGGCTCCAGGCTCCTCATGTTAAATGATAAAAGCAGGGTATACGACTGCGTATCCACTATGGTGCCAATTTTGTGAAAAGAGAAAAATGCTCTTATATAATAGAAAGCTTGAAACAAGATACATAACTAAATGTGTGTATGTTTGTGTGTATGTATGTAGTCTGTATATATACACGCATATACATAAATATATATGTATATATATATGCATAAATATATATACATGTGTATATATATATATACACACAAATATATGTATTTAAAGTTTATTTATTTAAGAGAAAGAGAGATCACATGTGTGCAAATGGGGAAGGAGCAGAGAGAATCCGACGCAGTTTCTGCACTGTCAGTGCAGAGCCTGATGTGGGGCTCAGTTTCATGGTTCCTGACCTCATGACCTGAGCCGAGATCAAGAGTTAGATGCTCAACCAACTGAGCCACCCAGGCGTCCCCTGTTTGTATATTTTTTGAGTAGTGGAATTATTATCTCTGTACAGTTTCTGTGTTTTCCATCTTTTTTTCAGTGTACATGTATAACTTTTTTTTTAATAAGGGGGAAAAATCTACTTGACAAAGCGACAACACAATAATAGTGAAAACCTGCTGTTGGTAGTCTGAGTCAGTATTTATCTACTAGTGAGTTTGTTCAGTTTTTATCTGAGCCCTTAAGTTTTCCCTGATAAAATACAGTCTTGATTTTTTGCTGTTGTCTTTAGCTTACGGATTATAGGTTTATTTTTAAGAGAGAAAGAGAGAGTGTGTGAGTGGAAAGGGGGACAGAGAGAGAAGGAGACACAGAATTCGAAGCAGGCTCCAGGCTCCAAGCTGTCAGCACAGAGCCCAGCGTGGGGCTTGAACCCACGAACTGTGAAATCATGACCTGAGCTAAAGTCAGACGCTTCACTGACTGAGCCAGTCAGGCACCCTTGGATTATATGAATTAATGCTGAAAAACTGACCAAAATAAGGCAGCTCTCCTGTTATCCCTATTCCTGTTTACCACTTGGCAGTTTACTCCATCTCTAGTAGGACCCCAGGCACCTGCTGACTTATGTATAGTGGGCTTCTTTTTTACTTCAATTTCTGGGTTCAGTGCTAAAACCCACTGCTAGAAAGCAGTGATTATAGTTTGTCTGATAAAAGATGCTCTGTGTTTTCTTTGTAGGCCATTGAATCACTATTTTTCTGTTCAATGTCATTGTTAAATGGCTTAAAAATAGCATTTTTGGGGGCGCCTGGCTGGCTCAGTTGGTGGAGCATGTGACTGTTGATCTCAGGGTTGTAGGTTTGAGCCCCGTGTTGCGTGTAGATCTTACTTAAAAAGAAATAAAATCTTTAAAAAAAACAGCATTTTGGACCCGGGGATTATCAGTATCGGGAGACAAAAATGAGGTGATTCCAAATTTGGAAATTCTTACAATAGATGTCAGCTTCTTAAGGGCAGAAGTTTTGCCTGTTTTACTTCTACTAGGTATTCCTAGCAGGTGCTGAGTGCTTGGTATATAGTAGGTGCACCATAAAAATATCTGTTGACTGAATAAATTAATAAATTAGAAATAAAGGAATTGTCCTTTGAGAATTAACCTTTAAAATTAACATAGTCTATCATTTGGGAGTTAAAATTAGCACAATCAGAGCAGAGGTATATGAGGGCACTTTAAGGAGACACAATGCCTTTGAGAGAAATGAGATCTGATTAAAATATTCACAAATATATTAACATATCTAAAGAAAGAATATGTACATCTGAAGAGCTGTGCCTGCCAGTGTGTGGGAGGTGAGAGGGCCTGAACCAGCATTGGAAACCTAAACTACAGAGAGTCACCAAGGCTCATGTAGGCCTAAAGCCAACAATTGGCTATGAAAACTTCTGGCCTTCCCCCTGCTTCTGGGAAGTAGATCATTCAATCAGTTAATAAGTATTAGTTAATAAACAAAAGAAAGCATATTCAATTCAGAACCGATTTTTGAGAACTTACTAGCAGTTTGGTGCTAGGCGAGGAACGAGGGTAGTAAAGATGAGTACAACACAGTTCCTACCCTGGAATAAGTCCCACTTTGATGAGGGAGACAGCCGCATGACTCCCGTGCTGTGGTAGGTGAAAAGATAGAGGGGTGCAGGGCTGTCCTTTGTTCCCCTTCCAGCCCATTCCCTGCACTTTCTAACTATTCTCCCCTCACTCCTTTCTCAGCTTGTTCCTTCACTGTTTTGACTTCCGGGTTCTTTTTCTACCCTTTCTTATCTCACTGTCGTGTGTGCCCCCTGGGCAGCCTTATTTTTTCCCATAACTGTAAGACGTGTGCTGTCTACTCCCAAATCCATAGCTGTGCATTCACTCCTTTCCAGAGCACATAGCCACAGAGCCGCAGTATGTCAGACAGTCCCAACTGAATGGCTCACAGCTGCCTCTAACTTAATGTCTCAAGACCAAACCCATGGTCCTCTGCCCCTGTTCCTCCTGTAGACCCTATAACAGTGAAGAGACCACCTTCTCTTGCATTCTGAGGTAGAAATCCCTGAGTCATTCCACACTCTTTTCTCTCCTCCACATTTAAAGCCCTATTTGTAGAGTCCCATGTCATGCAGAGTGCTGTTAGTCTTCTCAGTGAGGTAGGTATTCTGATTCAGGTAAACAGAAGCTCCTTTCTGATATATCCCCTGAGGCCTCATTAAAGTTTGAACTTTAATGTTCTTGTTGTGTCTCTAC